CTGGAAAGTAGCTAAAATCATACCAATCCGCAAACCCGGTAAGGATCCAACATTGTCTTCAAGCTACAGACCAATCAGCCTCCTTTCAGCGCTGAGCAAATTGTTCGAGAAACTTATTCTCAATCGTTTGCACAAGTTTGTCGAGGAGCACAACATTCTCCTTCCGGAACAGTTTGGATTCAGAAAGGGGCAATCCACCAATCACCAGCTAGTACGGGTGATGAATAACATCCGAAGTAACAAAGCTGTATTCAAGTCCACAGCCATGGCCTTGCTAGACGTTAAAAAGGCGTTTGACAATGTTTGGCATCTGGTTAAAATCACCCGTAACTACCTCCAGCAAAGGTCGTTTAAGGTATCGTTGAATGGTTGTCTTTCGAACACGTTTTACATCCCAGCAGGAGCCCGCAAGGAAGTCTGTTGGGCTCTTTGCTTTACAGCATCTACACTTCTGTTCTGACATTTCTCCCCTCGGAGACAGTTGCGTGTTCTGCAATAACCGTCAAGGGTAGGATGCATCGCGAAATAACAAACAAGCTCCAACGATGCCTTAACGCCCTTGCTGATTATGCCACTACGTGGAAAATTAAAATCAATCCCTCCAAAACACAAGTGATCATGTTTCTCCATCAACTATCGCCCAAACTAAAACCGGCTCTACCTTGTACTGTAATCATGGGTGGCACAAGGGTTGAGTGTTCTGCCAAAGTAACTTATCTCGGGATGTTGTTCGATGAAAAGTTCCTCTTCCGCTCGCATGTAGAGAAAACTGTAGTCAAGTGTTCCGCCTTGGTTAGGTGTCTGTATCCACTGATTTGCCGCAGATCCTGCCTCTCAAGGGTGAACAAACTGGCTGTCTATAAACAAATCATAGCACCTGCGATCCTCTACGCAGCTCCGGTGTGGGAATCATGTGCACAGACTCACAGGAATAACATCCAGGTCACTCAGAATAGAGTGCTGAGGATGGTACTTGATCGTTCTTTCGACACTAGAATAACAAATTTAAACGAAGAGGCAGGCATTGCCAAAATAGATTCCAGAATTAAGACTAAATTTGCACAAAAATGTAATATATCAGAACTTGCTTTGATAAGCTATTTGTATGTATATAGTAGATTAGGTATATATAGTACTTGTAGGTTAGTTGTAGTTGTAAATAGTAGTTTTAAGTAGTCCCCTTTTTCAAATTTAAAACAAACCAATCCCACCAAGTTGGTCATTCTCTAAAAGAGGCCTGATAGGACTAGGAACTGTAATTAATAATAATTGAAATTTCAAAAGAACTAAAGTTTAAAAGACGCATCTGTGTCACTTGATAAGTTATACATGTAAACCACACAAATTCAAGAAATAAAGATCATTTAAATTCAAAGTCAAAATCAAGCCTCAACTCATTTTCGCTTCGGACGGCGTGGTGAGCAGCCAGCAGAAGCAGCAATAGCAGTAGTAGGAAGGTGGTGGCAGATAAGGTAGTCCACTCTTCTAAATATCTAACAAGCAACAATGACTGGTCGTGGCAAAGGAGGAAAAGGTCTTGGTAAAGAACGCGCTAAGCGTCATCGCAAGGTTCTTCGTGATAACCGCCATCCTTCGACTGGTTCGCCGTGGCGGTGTCAAACGTATCTCCAGTCTGATCTACGAGGTGTGCTGAAGGTGTTCCTGGAAAATGAGATGCTGTCACCTACACTGAACACACCAAGCGTAAGCGACCATGGATGTCATCTACGCTTTGAGGCGACAGAGACGCACTCTGTACGGTTTCGGAGGTTAAATTATCACCAACTTTGGCAACAAACGGCCAACAAGCTTATAACAGTAAAGCGTTGGAATATAATTTATCTGTGCCTGTTTGTCCATATTCAGAACCACAGGCCCCCAACGACCACACAAAATGCTCTCCAGAGTTGTAATCGTGTAACCAAACTTGGGAGTAGGGGTGATTTTGATCGATTTTCTTCATCAAATTTCTCTTTGAAAAAAAAATTACTACAAATTTGGTACGCCTACAATTAAAAAAAAACGGAAAGAGTTAAGATAATACAGGGTGCGTGACGAATTTTTGCAGTAAATGGCATATTTAGTCTAGTCTAGTCTAGTCTAGTCTACAACAGTAAATGGCATATTTGAGAAAAAATACACCAGTTAGTTATTCTAGCAATGAATTTTGTGCGATTTATTTTCTTTCGCAACATATGATAGTTGTAAGTAAATTTATTCAAAAAAATTGCCTTCCCTTTCGACGACTGTAGTTAGACGCTTCCGGAAACTGCAGTATGCACGTTTTAAAATGTTTCGATCCATAGATGTCATCACTGCCTTGATTTTAGCTTTTAGCGACTTAAGTGTGGTGTGAGGGGTTCTATTGGTATCCCGTTGGACGACGCCCTATACAAAATAATCCAACGGATTGATATCGGGACTGCTTGGGGGCCAAATTTCTTCCTCCCAAATTTACGAAATATTTTCCGTAAGCCATTTCTGTGCTTTATTAGCGGTATGAGCAGGTGCTCCGTCTTATCACTTTCCCAAGCCTTTTTTAATATTATACACTGTTCTTTCAGACACATTTACCGACCGAATTATTTCTTTCATGCATACTCCGGCGCGCAACAAAGCGACAACGGCTGACAGATTGCTCTCTTGTTTCGACATCTTTACGTTTACTCAACATTGTTTGTTTAAATCTTACACCTAACAGTATAAGCTATCCAGTGCTGCCAAATATATCTAAATCATGATGCACAAGCATGAGAAATTACTATTTAAAATTTACTCCAAAATTCGTCACGCACCCTGTAGATGATCGATCAATTAAAAGAACTAAATTGTATTCACATTTGTTCCGTCCACTAGCGGTCATACGTCAAGTTTCCGTTCGTGCCTCTAGGCACAGAACCTTCTACTTTTTATTCTGGACAAATAAGAACTAAAATCCAACGTGAAAGGAATACTGATTTGGATTCACGAGTAAAAATTACTATGTTTTAGACATTTAAATCCCAGACTGAGGCTGATTTTATTTGTCTCCAATATGATCATTGCAAGCAGATTTCTTCCATATCACTGCTTAACAGTGGGAGTTAGAATGGAATAATTACATTGACAAACTTAACGTTAAAATTAGTTGAAAACAGTAACATACAATTATAGAAATTGTTATTGTTATTGCTCAGCTCACACCCTGGCCGACTATCGCCCGCCCATCTGCACTTAAGCTAGGTATGAACCTACGGAAATGTTGGTCGTGGCCTATGCTAGACCGTATTGCATAACGACTTTCTTCCACCAGCAGGCCGGTAGGCAGTCCCAGCTTCAGATTTGTAGGGGTTAGTAAAAGAATAAAACAATAGAGAAGAGCGATAGAGTACATATTTGTTGTTTTCTGAAAAGAGAAGAACAAAAACAAAAACAGCACGCCGACTTGTTGTGCTGCATGAGCTATGTCCGCTTTCATTCCCGGTCCTGCGGGTTACGTCCCTCTTCACGTGCTCACTCACTCAAGTATCCTGGGAACCTCCAGAGGTGCAGAGGGCCAACATGAGAAACCTCCATTCTGAGCGGTTGCTTGACCTGGGCCCAGGTCAAATTCCTATTGGCTTGCTTGATTTCCTTGTTGGGGTTTTGCTGCCATAAGCCCCTGTGCCTTTGCTGTGACGTACTGATGAATTGGATTCACATGCTTCACACGCTTGCCTGCAGTGATATTGTCGGTTGTATATGATTTTTATTTTTATATTGTTTTTCGGCTGCCAGTACGCTGCCAGCAACAATTTCCATTGGGGATCATTTGATACGTTTGGGTTTCCTGCACATACGACTTTTTCCTAGATACAAGCTTCATCCAGTATACATTGGCTGTCTCCAACCGGCATGATCCTTTCTGTCTGCTTCCTGTTACCGGTGCAAGTTTAATTCTTCTTTTCGTGCTACTTTCCTCCTATTGAACTTCTGGTCGTGTTCCCATTTGTCCTCAGGCAGTTAATATTAGTACATGATAGGAAGAAAGAAATAGAACAAGTTAAGTGTGAGCCGCATGCATTGTTTACTTATTTGGGCATGGTGTTGTGTTCCCTATTTATTTGCCTCTATTTCGCTCTCAGATCGCAACGTTTAACTCACCCCCTTCCCTCACACTATTATGGTCGGAAAAGAGAACCCATATTCAGTAATCTCTCGCGAACTGCGATGCAGAAGATATTAATAGCAAACTAATCTGGAACTGGTCTAAGACATATAACCCAGTGAGTATTGACACATCACAATGTTGTGATGGAGCACGGCCGTGAGATTTACTAGAGTATTAAATGCAAAATGCAAATGCAAAATAAAACTTGACAAAACATCGTCAATCCCCTTATTCTTGGGCAGGGCCTGACGATGTGAATCTGATTTTGATCAGTGAACGGGCTCCATATGGTACATTTTCTCACTATGAACCTGTCATTTCTAGCCTATCTGAACTATTTAATAAATGGGTTACGCTCCCCCTAAGCGGGCTCTCCGCATCCTGTCTTATCTCTCTCTTATCTTAAATGTCAATGGTTTGAATGTATCAATGTATACATTGGAAATGACGTTCAATCTATTAAACCCATACCCCACTCTATTGGCCAGGCTTCAGAATCGTCCAGTGGGCAGTGCGCTCTACACTCCAAGTTCCCTTTCTTTCAAATTCACCCCATATTTTATATTTTACACCTTTGAGTGTTGATTAATCACAATGAAACATTGTCACAGAGCACGGACCTGAGGTTACTAGAGTATTAAATAATCTAGGTCCTATTTAGGATTATATCTGAAAAATCCAATTTTGGCCAACGCCCACCAGTCACATACTATTATAGAAATTCGTATGAAAAGTCAAAGTAAGCAACATTTCATCGACATTTTAAACCAACTAACAGCAAGGCATTGTTCTTTTTGTTTTGAAATAGAAAAGCCACGGTTTACATGTTTTAAAAAAGTTCATTGATATAAATTGAATACGACGTCAACGTTCAACTTACCGGCAGTTCCACAGTTAAACTTGTATAAATTATCATTTTATTATCAACATCATCGACACTTGTAATACTTTGCACTTGTTGTTCAACAACCTCCGAAAACTTTTCCTCGGCAACCACCTGAAGCGTTCCGTCCCCATTCTTGTCTTCCGATGGCTTATGGTGAGCTTTCAGATGGTATTTCATATATTTCACATTCTTAAATCTACGATCGCACAGCTCACAGGACACTGGCAGATCATCGCTATGCAACGATTCGTGGATCGCGACAGCCGAAGGAGAACTGAAGCACCTCGCACAGAATGAACACTTGTGCTGCAGGCCAATCACTTGCCCACTCATTTCGTTGTGTTCTTTTGCTTCATGCAGAAGAATCAACTTTCTCCTGGTCGAGCCTTTGTCGCAGAAACGACACTTGAATTTGTACTCCTTCGTATGGGTTTGCTCGTGCCGAAGCTTGTCCTGATTCGCAACAAATCTCTTATCACAGTAAGAGCAGGAAAACTGCCTATCATTGGTGTGCGTTTTCATGTGGAGTCGGTAGCAGATTTTTCCCTTCAACTTTTTCGCGCAGATAGTGCAGGTGATTTCTCTTTCAGCCACTGCTTGTTCGCCTAGCTGTTCGGCATGGGCTATCCTCAGGTGAGCAGTCATGCCGTTCCGTTGCGCAAATGATCGCCCACAGTACTCGCACTGGTATCCCTTCGAGTCCTGGTGGATCAGAATGTGAGTTTTCAACTGACTTTGAACTTTAAAAGCCTTGCCGCAGACTTCGCACACAAAGCTCGCATCCACGTGCACCCGCTTCTTGTGGTACTGCATATCCTTGTCATTGGAGAAAGGTTTGAAGCATACGTCACAGTTGACCCTGTGGTACTCTGGATGTACCGACCGGTGGCTCTCTAAGCCATGACGAGTAACATAAGCCTTGTCGCACAGGTCGCATTTGAATTTGGGCTCCCGGTTCGAGTAAACTCCTTTGATGCACGTGTGATCCTTCAAATACTTTGAGCAGAGCAATTTCTTCTTGCACGAGGAGCAATGTATCATCTGCCTTTCATCGAAGTCTTTCTTGTGAATATGCTTCATATGATAGATCAAATTACGCCAATCGCTGAAACTCTTCGGACATTCGTTGCAAATGTGTATCCGCTGTCTTTTCGGCGGTATGTCCTCCTCCTGAACGCCATGTGCTTTCGCTCGATGGGCGCTCCACCAGTTGTAGTGGACGAAGCTTTTGTCGCAGTCATTGCATTTCAGCTTTTTCGGCACTCGGCTTTTAATCGAACCCTTGGCTGGGTCCGACTCACGTTTCCGACGGGTATAACGGTTTCCCCGTGACTTGGGACTACTTGGAACTTGCTCCGTGTCGGAAGAACTAGAAGTTGGATGATCAGGGGTGAGATGTTTACTGTTATTTGAATCGTTTGTCGAGTCGTGATCGTTATCAGTATCATTCTCTACGCGAAGATCAGGAACCTCGCGATCGGACAATTCGGGCTGATTTTCTTTTATATCCTCTTCGGCAACAGGATTGTATTTTATATCAACGAGATCAGTCTGAAAGAAATTGACATGTAGGTACCCATTTCCGTTCATTGGAATTTGAGATAAAATTAGCGAAAGGTTTACTTTTCATTTGTACCTAATAGTATTATAATTCTTACCTTTTCAAATAACATTTCGGATGCCAGAGTTTCGTCTTTCGAAAACTTTGCATCAACTAGGTCATCCGCAACGGCTTGGAAATGTATCTGCAAGAAACATTGTTTAGAAACTGTATTCAAAAGCATCATTCAACTCACGTCTGCAACTGTCTGCTGGTCGTCGTTTTTCACCTCTATGGATTCATTTTTTACCGCTTGCAATTCCAACCCTAGAGAGTTCTCGCCTTCCGATGATGGTATACAGCTATCTCCGCCAGCATCATCATCGTCAACTTTCGTATCGTCCGCATTCTCAGTGCTCTGTTCAGCCAGCTCGGCCAAGTGCTCCAAGCCCAAGAATGGGCGGTTTTTATTCCTCCTCACGCGCTCCTTCGGTTGCTTCGGCGGTGCATCTTTCCGCCTACCCTGCTTCCCGATAACTCGCTCAATCCCCAAAATATCCCAATGGCGACTCTTTTCGTGATTACGCAGCGCCTGTTCCGTTACAAACTGCCGTGGACAGTGTTCGCAGCGGAACGATCCCTCATGCACCCGTACATGGTGGCTCAAGGCTCGTTTCGTTTCGAAACCCTGACCACAATGGTTGCACTGGAATTCCTTCTCCGGATGGCCTTGCTCCAGATGTTTGTCCAGCAGTTCTTGCTTCCGGAAACGCTGCCCACACACTTCACAGAACAAACCTCGCTTTCCTTTAGCACAGGCTCCTTCGTGGTTCTTTAAACTCTCTATGCGAGCAAAGGATTGACCACAAACACTGCAAACATGCAGCCGTACACCGTGAGTAGTCATGTGCAATCGAAGATTACCCTTACGGGCGAATACCATGGGACACTGCTCACATTTATAAGTCTTCCCAGCATTGTGCTTCAAAATCATGTGCACCCGTCGACCTTCACGACTCGTGAACATTGCGTCGCACATCGTGCAGGGATGAGACTTCTTATCGACTCCTGCATGCTTGTTCAAGTGCTTCTTCAGCGTGCCTATTGATTTGAAAACTGCTGAGCAAATTTTACACTGATTACCACTGGATTCCGAGTCGCCGCCATCCGCCACCACATGAGTCTTCTCATGGGCTGCCAGGGTGTACTTATTCGTCAGTAGCTGATCGCACTGCTTACACTGGTACTGTTCGTCTTTGGGAATAGGACTAGCTTTGAACGGACCATGCTCTCGACGATGCTTCCCATTCCAATGCGTCCGAAGCAGGTAGACTCGTGCAAACCGTGCTTCACACAGCGTACATTGGTGCTTACGGGTTGCGCAGTGCTCCTTCTTTCTGTGCTGGCGATATTTGGAATACTGTTGAAAATTGGCATCGCAGTCCTTACAACCGAACGGTTGTCCCCGGTGGTGGTTGGCACTGATGTGCAGCTGGCACTGTACCTTCGTTCGAAACTGTTTGGGACAATTGGGACACATGAAGGATTTGGTCTGAAAGCGGAAGAGAGAGAGAGAGAGAGAGAGAGAGTGATCAGTTATTTAGAAAAACTGTAAAAGAAAACCTAATCCAAAACACTATTTTTTAAAGTGTACGAATAAATGTCTTAAAACAAACTCTCTGGCTCTAAAAAATCTATAACTCGTTACAACTAATATATAATATATTTGTCTGTTATATTAGTATAAATAAATATTCTTTTTTTTTTGCTTTATTATAGAGACTTTCAACCTGTAGCTGGTTCGTCTCTTTCAAGAGTTGGGGCTCCTGAGGGGGTCCCGGAGAGAGAAAATAAATAAATTACATAATGTTTGTTACAGAGTTTAAGTATCTCAGAGTTCTGTGTCGATTGTTATAACAGAAAGGAAGGTGAACGAAGTTGTGGTTAATTTCCGAGAGAGAGAGTCAATGTCCGTAGCCTGCGGGGTTGTCATCGTTGTTCTTCCGTTTGACATGTCATTTAGAGAGCTGGTGTTGTCCAAGTGCCGTTGTTCGTCCGTTGTCGTGTCATTGTTCGTTGCGGGGTTCTACGCATATTGATAATAGCCTGTTTCTTTAAGGAAGTCGAGAGGTGATCTTTCCCTGTTTGGGTCATTGGATAATGCGTCTCTGATGCTGAGACCGATACCGATATTATTATGAGATGCTCAACTGACATTTTGGTTGAGCACCCCATACATTGTTTGTGGAATCCATCACGGGATCCGAGATCGTGTGAGAACCTGGTGTAGCCGCAGCGTAATCTGGACAGTACTCTCTGGTCCTTCCAGTTTTTGGTGTCGGACCAGCATTTCGTATCTCCTTTTATTTTGCGTAAGAAAGGGTCTCGGGTATTAACCCATTCCTTGTCCCATGCCGAAGCGATGATCGTTTTGATCCAGATTTTTAAATCCACTGCAGGGACTTCCGGTTTCACTGGGGTTTTCGATCTGCCGATCGCTGCCAGCTTGTCCGCAGCCTCGTTTCCACTGATATTGCAGTGGCTGGGAACCCAGACATATACGGTGTTACTGTTCGAAGCCATTCTGATTGCTTGCACCAACGGGTGTCGGTTCTTCGGACTCTCAAGGGTCTTCAGCACACTGGCCGAATCCGTAATGATGGCCTTCCAGGAAGAACTGGACTCCGTAACGGCTGAGAAGATGGCAGCTGCCTCAGCCGAGATGATCGATGTAGGCTTAGGAAGGCCTCTGCTGGTATCTAGGTTGGCGCCGAATACGCCATAGCCGACTTCGGTCGCTGTTTTTGAACCATCCGTATAAATGAGCTCATATCCATTCAGCGTTGCTCTAATGAGCACGTTGAAGCGCGGGACCACAGTGTGGGGGTTCAGATTTTTGGTTTATTTAATGCCCATATGATCTTAGGTGGAGAGTAGTCCCACGCTTCGTCTCCGACCCAGTGGACCCTGGACACTGGGGGGAGGTTCTGGTGGGTGAAAACTTGAAGGAGCTTGTTTGCCTCTTTGAGGAGGAACACTCCCTCGTCATCACCGGTCGTCTTCTCCAGGAAACTAGTGGCTTTGGAACATACGGCTTTTGCGAATATGTATCGAAAGGGGAGGATTCCAGCCTCGACACACGTGGATGCTGCGGGAGTGCAAGGAAGAAGACCGGACACACGGCGGATGTATCGGTTGAAAGTTTGTGCGAGTTTATCGGTTACATTATCGAAATTTCTATACAGTAGCTCGGCACCGTAGAGCAGTTTGCTACAGATGAGTGCCTTCGTGATACGCAGCCCAACGTCACGGTTGTTGTTGGTGTGCTTGCTGGCGATAATTCGTAACAGGTTCGAAAGGTATTTCTTCTCCGTCGATTTTGGGGGGATTCTTTTTCGCGCGGTGTTTTCCTAGGCATAAGTGGGAGAATTGATTCTTGGATGGCAATAGTTCGAATCCGACGGATGATGCCCAAGCATGCACTGCTTCGATAGCGCTTTGGAGTTTCCTGCGGATCAGGGTGGGTCTATGCCCTGTTGTGAGAATGACGATGTCATCCGCAAACCCAAAATTGAAAACACCTTTTGGTAAGCATTCGAAGATTCCATTCATGGCGATGAGGAAGAGCGTTACCGCCAGCACGGAGCCTTGGGGAACGCCGGTTTCCTCCGAAAAAGAGTTTGATTTTGTATTTCCGATGCACACCTGGAAAGTTCTGTTCGTGACGAAGTTGCGAATGAAGGCAAAGGTGCTACCGCCAATGCCCCAGCTGGCCAGCGTTGTTAAAACCCCCGGAGTCCAAGTGCGGTTGTACGCCTTCGAAAGGTCCAGCGTGGCCAAGTCTACGTGGAGGTCATTTTCGAGGGCGTCATCCAGAACTTGTCCGAGAGTGGCGAAATAAGTATGGGATATGAGACGATATCCACTCGGTTCCGTTCGCACGGAGTCCTTCTTAGGAATAGGGATAACAAGACTATGTCGCCACTGAGCGGGGAAGGTTCAGTCTGTCCAAATTCGGTTGTAGTTTTTCAGCAGGATCCTTCTGCCGATAGGTGGAAGGTGGCGAAGGAATGGGTACCCGACTTCATCAGAACCAGCTGATTTTCCTTTTCCACTGGCTAGTGCGAAGGACAATTCGGCTTGAGAGAAAGGTCTATCCAAAGGATCGCCCTGGGTATTCGGAGTTTGAACGGATTCGATTGTTACTGAAAATGCATCGAGCCGAGTGAAATCGTGGCTGTTACCACTCCGAGCGTTGAGTTTAGTGAAGAAACCGCCAAAGATGTTTGCAATTTTCTTCGGGTCCCTAGTGATGCCGCTTCCTGTGTTGATGGCGATGCCGTTGGTCTTGCGTTTCCCTTGCAAGGCGTTTATGCTTTGCCACAGTTCGGAAGTTGTGCTTTCGCTGCTTATTCCGTTCAGGAAGTCGTCCCACGTTTTACGCTTGGCGGAACGGATTGTGTCCCGGCAAACATTGCGTTTTAGTGTGTACTCTGTAGCTACAGCCTCGGCGTCAGGGTGGTTTCTCGGGGTTCGTTTAAATTTTCTCAGGGTTTTTCTCCTCGATTTTATGGCGGCCTTGGTTTCAGCAAGAAATGTGAGCAAATAAACAAACCTTTCTTCAGATGATGGAACCTTTGCTATCCAATTCGTTCGGGGCATTTACCTTTGAGCGGTAGATGACGCGATTGTGCTTGTCTCATACCAGTCGATTGAGAAAAGTTGTCAGTCTTCTTGATATATTGTCTTCGATTAAAGCCAAAAGTATGGACGTCTGTCAAAAGTTGTTCCAATCAAACCGTCAAAATGCACCGCTTTGCTCGATTGGAACAGGGCTTTATTCAGCACACTGCATGGGCATCGCGCCAATCATTAAATTTTCCTCGATTTCTGCTGATAATAAATCCGATTTCTAACATCAAAATTATCTCACGAACTTACCCCATCCTTATCCACACCAATTTCAATTGCATCCTTTGCTGAACTGCTTTTGGTGGAAGATTTCGGCGAATCTTGTCCGTCCTCTTCGAAGTTAGACTCGTTCACCGAATCCTCGTCGGAATCACTCATTTCCGAGAAAAAACTCTGATGCTGGGCACGTTCCAGTCACCAACCACCGGCAAAACCAACTAATTTAGCAATTTTTCGAGTAAAATTTTGATTTTCTCGTAACAACCTGCACAACGCGATTCAACTTTACGGTGATTGTTGTAAACAAAAACAAAACACGAAGCATACAGCCAAGTTGTCAAAATTCGTTCCAACGAGTGAGCTTTCGGGAATGGCTGCGTGCATCGGATTCTTGAATAAAATGCGAATCATTCGAGCACAACAAAAAAACAAAATCTAGATGAACATGTGAAAAAGACCAATTAACCATGTTAACAATAATTACTTACGTCGATTTCTCTCATCCAGGCAAACCAAAAGCAGCATCTGGTAGTGGAAATTTCCTCTATCAGCTGGTATAGTTAGTTTGCGTGAGTGTGCTATGATTCATAAGAAATCGTCGTATAGTCATTGTTTACATTTGACTCATTGGCCCTTTTTACATGATCATCTTCAAATAATCAGCAGCTTTCCCATTCCTCAGAACTGCGTAGATAAAAATGGATTTTTCGCAACAAGTTGAATCGTTGAAATGCCTAATAAGGGGTTGAGCTGAACATCAAATAAATTTTATTAACTCCGAAAAGAACATATAAAAAAAACTTAATCATCTACTCGAGAACCTCCTCTCCCTCCTTGATCTCCTTCAGATTCAAAACTTCCAGCACTCCAGCTCCCTTCGTGTCCCTTCGGACAATTTCATCCATCTCCCGGTAGTGTCCCGGATTGATCAGGCACGTCAGCACCAACTTGTCCCCTTCCCATTCCTCGCCTTCAACGGGAGAGCACAACTTGGTGACCTTTTCCTTCAAACGCTTGGCATCCTTTCCCGGCAGGGTGACCTTCAGCCGCATTTTAGCCCTCTCCAGCGGAATCGTCTCCTGCAGCAGCTTGATTACTTCCAGGGCTTGTTGTTTGGCATTCCGATTTGGTTTGATAGAAAAGTGAATGTCCTTCATGCACTTTTCGATGATTGACACCGGGTAGGGCCGCTTGGTTTCCGGATTCACGCACCGATCGGCCACGTTCGTCGCAATTTCCTTGAGCATCGAATCCTGTTGATCGTGACGTTCCTTCTCGGAAATCTGCAGCTCGCCCTTGGCCAGAATCTCCTTACAAATCTCGGCGATATCATCCTTGCCGAATGCCTTCAGCAAATCTTCCTTCTTAGCCACTTCGCCCTTGGACACATTGGTGAACACCGATCCGGATTGCAGCACTTCGTCCAGGTCCTTTTCCGCTCCGTTTCTCCACGAGACGACCTTGTTTTTGTAGCAAGCTATTTCGAACCGCTTGCCACCCTTCTTGATTCGCACGACGGCCACATTCGTAAGCCGGATTTGATTTGTTGGAGTGAAAATTTTCGGCATCTTGTGTTATTCACGCGCGACGCACTTTAGTATTTTTGTTGTTTGCTTGTTGCGATGCGGGCAAGTTTTGAATTATTCAAGCTGAACATTGCATTAGGTTTTAAGTTAAGTTGATACATCTTCGTCGATTTTCTCTTTGCATTCCCACGGCCATGTAAAGACATTCCCATGGTATTTTCAGCACACATATCGATAAAAGAAGATTTTATCTAGCATCTAATAAGACAAACACATCAAGAAACGGTTATGTGCTCTAGTTTTTAACGAAAGAGAAAGTCGACGATGAGAATCGATCAGTGATACTTAGGACCTAATGCAATATTCAGCATGAATAATTATAGTTTTATTTTGGTTCTGTTTGACAGTTCATTGCCTCTCGGTCCCTTTCCAGTTGTTCGATTCTCTTCATCGATTTTCTCTTTGCATTGCTACAGCTAAGCGAAACAATTTTCTAGAATTTGTTCAATTCAGAGTAGTAACAGGTTGTATTGGCTATCAAAAGCAACAACAAACGCACCGAGAAACGTTGAATCTAGCGAGTTATTTATAAAAGAGAAAATCGACCAAGAGAATCGATCATCGCGTATAGGCCCTTATGCATGCTCAGTGTCGGTTTTATTTTGGTTCTGTTTGACAGTTCATTGCCTCTCGGTCCCTTTCCAGTTGTTCCTGTTTTTTCTGGCATAACCAACACGGAAAGATGAAATAACTCAAAATCGAGATGAAAGCAGGGGAAACATGTCAGAAGGGTCTAACACGAAACGTAAACAATGACTTGCGCAGAAAAAAAAATTGTTGAATATTACATCCAAACTGCTGCAACCAGGTCAATCCATCGGTTGTGTAATATAACGTTGTACGATGTACATCGACTTTGCGAACAAAATTACATCCATTGACGTAAATTTGTATCTGCTTTTTGCTATTACATCATTATTTCATACATCAGCTTGAATTACGTTGATCGATATTACATTTTTTTTTTGCTGTGTGGATCGTCGGTTTTTTACGAATGACAACACAACATTATTACAACAGGACAGGATGTCACAGTGTGAACGTTATGCTCGTATGTGTGATTATTTGTAGCATCAACTTGAATTATTATTCTTGTACACTCTACAGGTTTGTGATCATCAACAGATAATTCGATACGTGCACGGCGAATGAGAACGACTCAAATTTGAGTTTAGTTCACTCATAATCGCCAAAAGTGCAGGAACTCAGCGATGAGTTAATTTGCCTCATGTTTTCCCAGTTTTTTTTCAGGATTTTCCAGGGAAAAATTCCGAAATTTGAGAAAAGTAAAGATTGGATTCACTCAGTCTATTGGTACTACTCCGAGACTGAATAAAATTTTCGTCAATTTCCTCATTTTCCGGCAGATTTTTAAGGTTTTTCCACAGGAAACCATGAGACAAATTTTACTCATCGCTGAGTTCCTGCACTTTTGGCGATTATGAGTGAACTAAACTCAAATTTGAGTCGTTCTCATTCGCCGTGCACCAATGGAGGAAACGGAGGCAGCAGCACCAGTGGCAGCATCAGTAACCGTGTTTCGGATCTGCAGACTATCTGGCAGGAATGAACCCAACTACTGAGGGTGCCGGACAGCGACGCAATGTTGATGTATCTACGACGATCAATTCAGAATCCCTTTCGTCGGTTGTCGCCAATCAGGACAATGTTGACGCCCTGGTGGAACATTTACCCAACATCGAAGGCTATAAAAACAAGAAATAACAACTCAAGGAGCGGAGATGAACCAGCGTCTGGCTGAAAATCTCCTTAATAAAGACAACCAACCAACCAACTCAAGGAAACCCTATCCTCACTGCTCAACAAGCGCTGTCCATGCTTTCCAATGCCATTCAATCGGGACAGCTGGGACCGGTCGTATCACAGTTTCAGCTGAACACGGAAGCCGTTGAACAGTTCGTCAAAGCTTTGGAGAATGGCCACAAAAGAACACCGATGCGCACAAGAGCAAATCCTCGACTTATTCCTTATGATGCTCCGAAGATACAAAAACGATTTGATGAAAATGTGCACTTTTATCACACTTGTTGCATTTTCGTGGCACTCCAATTTCGATGTCAATCATACAAGGTCTGGAACAACAAGTAGCTTGCTGGTGTTAGAAGCAAAAATGTTGTAAACATTGCTGAGCAAGCGAATGCCGATGTCACGGCAGCACAACATTCCATACTGCGAATAGCAGACGTGTCGTCACAGAAAACAGCTGTTTCGTGTAAAAAGATAAACATTGCGATGCAATACGACCACCACTAGACATTTTCACATTTCACTAATACCAATAATCCGGTTGGGCCCGAGGTTGGGCCAGACCTTGTATAATTGACATCGGTCCAATTTCAGATGCAATCAGCAATATGTGTAAGTATTGAGAAATCCAACTTAAACTCCTGCGCGCCTGGTGGCAGGAATAAGCACTAACCGACGGTGATAAGTCTGTGACAGCCCTTGACAATTTCATTGATGGTTTGCAAAATTGTTTAATTTCAGTATAATTTCATGCAAATTTCTTGTCAGAATGGATGAACTTTGTACAAAATGCATAAAATTATTTTGTTATGCATTGTTCCCAAATAAAAAGCTACTTCAAGACAGTTAAATTACAGAAAACATGTTAAGGTTTGAAATCATCTGCCGATTAAACAGCAGACAAAGTTGGCCGAATAAATCCATCGACGAAAAACTATTAAATAGGCCGATTGCTCGGTGTAGCACCAGACGAAAAACGATTTAATCTGCTGATTAATACACCGACTGAAATTAATTTTTAAGTGGTAATAGATTTAGTCGGTGGACGAATCGGGTAATCTGGATGATGTTTGTTTATTTGGAAGATATTTTCGAAACAAAGCACGATAAAATTCAGAATTATATCCAGCTTTTCATGCTCGGTAATGGCGACCTGTTTGTATGAATAAATGTATCCTTCACTGTGCTATCTGGAGGTTCAGATTTTGACCTCTCCCTTTCCCTCTCGCAGGAACAGAAGAAAATGCAACAACATACGCCCTCCAGTTAGTGTCAAACAGCACAGTGAAGGATACATTTATTCATACAAACAGGCCGCTATTACCGAGCATGGAAAGCTGGATACCATTATTACGAGTACTACTTTTTTGCTCGGATCATGTTTTGACTCCCACAGAAACTCGCTAGAATAAATACAAAATAATAGTTTTTTGGTTGAAATTTCAAAAATGTATTCAGTTTGACACATTATTTCGGACTTATCACGGTGGCCGATTGAAACTTGGGTTTGTCAATTGCCGATGCCGTTATTGGAAGATTGCCGCAAAAGCTCAACGCAGATGTCGCCACTGCATGATGATGATAATGTTGACAGACTGCATATAAAATTCGTGAAAATTAGCATTAAATCATAATTTTCATCAAGCCTACGTGAAATCCTTCCAATATAACATTCGAATTGAAGAAGAAAACGTTTTTACGATCAGACTTATGTGCATCTTTGACTTTTCCAGGTGAACTTTCATAAGATATATTCATTTCATTTCACGGCTCTATCAATGCTGCATCGTAAATATGATGGTAAACAGAAGTAAATTGCTCAATTACTCAAAATAAAGATGATTTGTCATCTTGTTATCACTTTGCAGACCATCTAGCACCATTTTATAGTATGGTGCGTGTTGAGTAAATCAAGTTCCGTTGCGTTTTCCGTCGAAAATTGTGAGTATCAATATGTTTGCTTAGAAAAGGCCAAAATGAACATTTATTGAATATTGGCGTCCTATACAACCAATTCTCCATTACCACCAGCATGATACAACCTTTCCTAAGTAAATTAACTTTATTTCCACTTTCATCTTAGTGGAAATCGCACATATTCAACATTTTCCGAAAAATGCAGCTGCGCAGGCGGTAACCTCTCGCTGTGGGTGCAAACTTGTTATGCATTATTTTCCATGAAAACCTCTCCGATCCATACCGAAATAATAACAATTAGTTTTCAAACACGTTTTCTTACACGATTCAAGCAAAAGTTTCCACGGGAAATTATTAGTTTTTCTTTATGGACCGATTTGCCCCAAAAATCGTCTGTTCTACTTGGAGAATTTGGAAACTATCCTCCTTCTAGTAGTTCTCACTTCGAAATGTAGGAGGCGAAAGCTTGGAACAGTTTCACTGCAAGACGCCAATTTATCCTACGGAATTTAAAGTTCTTCCGTTTGATTATTTCTCGCTAGTTTTAGTTTTGCCAACACTGTATCCGAAAATGTAAACATCAGAACGCAGCCACACCGCAGTTATTCTTTTGTTAGCATTTTTTCACGAATCAATCTAGCAGAAAACTTATTTGCCGTGAGCAGCAACTGAGCATGAGTTTAATTCGTTTTATTCCATTTATTCGCATTTTAGTAAGATTTTAGTAAACAACCTTGTTGCTGGTAAAATCCGAGCGCGCCGCTAGTACGCGATGCCGCGGGGACGTCCTCGGAAACCGAAGTTATTTCCGGGTTTTGAGACCGCTGCAAACGACAAAGGCACTGCTGGTAAGGATAATGAAGCGAGCGTAACAAATCAAATTGCCAAAGGTAAAAGCCGGGGCCGGCCTCGCCAACCCCGTCCGGAGGTTTTGAACCCGAAAGAAGAGCCTGGAGATGATGAAGATGAAAACGAACAACCTACACAGGAGCAGCAGGATGCGCACGAACTCCCAATAGGGAGGAAGGTTTGTTGCATTGTGTGGAAAACTATTTAAGGGGATTTATTTTAATGAATAATTGTTTCAGAGAAAAGGCCGCCAAAAAGACGAAAAGAAATCCAACCTAAATTGCGAGTTTTGCGGAAAGTTTTTCAAATTTCGCGCCACACTTAAGCAACATGAACAGATACACTATGGGATCAAGGAGTTCGAGTGTGAGATCTGTTACCGGCGGTTTCTCCACAAAGGAACACTGAAAGTGCACCTTCGGTTGCACACCGGAGAGATGCCTTACAAGTGCCCTCACTGTCCGAAGCAGTTCCGGGGCCAGACTGCGTTGGATTGCCACGTCTTCAGGCACACCAAACAGGGCACCAAGTGTCCCCAGTGTTCGTCGGTTTTTGCAACGCCGTCCATCGTCAAGCAGCACATTCGGGAAGTTCACACCACGGAGCGACTGAATACTTGCCAAATCTGTGGAGTCACGTACAAACACCTGAAGAGTCTACGGTTGCATTTGAGAAACCACCAGAAACGAATCTGTCCGGATTGTGGGAAAGTTTTCCATAGTGTGTACGTCATGATGACCCATCGGAAGATTCATGCTCAGGATCATTTTAAGTTCAAATGTGCGTTTTGCGATCGCAAGTTTGAAAAGGAAGACGAACTGGAGTCTCACAATAAGCTTCGCGGACGGACCTATCAGTGCGAGATGTGCTGCCACAGTTTCAATAAGCCTGATTACCTGGAGAATCACAACCGGCGCAACCACTGGAAAGAGTTGGGATTGGAACAGCTGAAGGTTGCCCCACCGAAGAATGGTTGGAACCGGAAGGGTGTTCCAAAACCGAAGAAAAAGGAAACTGAGGAAGAGGAAAACGTTCCACTGGAGGAGCAAACTGCCGAACCAATTGAGGTGGGTTACAATGTGGACGTTCCATCTGGTCCGGAAACGTGGCACAATTACAATGTTCCACTGTCGGAAATCGGTGGTTATTCGATGCACGGCGTTCCGCCGAATGTGCCAATAACTGTGGAAGCGATCAGCAATTCCGAAGATATTATAGCCAGAGCGGATCAAAACGTGCTGATTGAGATTCTGGAGGCACCTTCTGATGGGCAACCGGCCAGGATTTTGAAAACGATCACAACTGAAATTGAGCCAGTTTTGCCGTATCGGGAGTCGAACTTTAAATTGGGGGAAAGTGTTCAAATTGAATCAATACAGGACGAACCACGATTGGAATCCGACCACGACTACGCGGGCGATGATCACTGCCAAGACAATGATGACGACGACGATGAAGTAGCAGATGATGCATTGGGTGTGGAAAGTCAAGAATCGGAAATGAGAATCAAAGTGGAATCGGATCCCGAAATCGATGGGAGTCGGTTGTCTGACACGCATAATGTGTTTGAACCTTTTTTAGTGGAAAAAGCGGAGGAATCCCCGGAGATGAGTGCAAGGAACGAACCAGACTCGGATTCAGACGACGACGAGAAGCCACTGGCGGTAAGTTTGTATAATATTCACTACAATGGGGAAACCCAATTTTATTACTATTCCTCAACAGGCTTTGCTTCCAAAACTTCGACTGAAAAGGAATGATTCGTTCCTCAAAAAAGAGGAAATACCTTCGAAATCCCCACCTCGATGCATCGAAAAAGAACCGCTCAGCATCAAGACAGAACTAGAAGAATGTTCAAACGAAGGCTCTCGAACGGAACCATCCGACGTTGATGAGAAACCTATGAAAAGTCGCAAACGAAAGCAGGAAATCTTCTGTTCATTCTGTGGCGATTCCTTTAAATGGCGATCTGCTCTCAAAAAACACAAAAAGACTGTTCATCCGGATATCAAGTGGAAAGAAGGGGTACTGAAATGCTGTGCTAATCTAACTGAAGTACGTCTGTATCCTAAATTTTATATTTTTAGCCTTTCATCTGCGAGGTGTGTGGAAAGACCTATGCCACCAGTACGTCGCTCGTTTGTCACCGGAGTCGGCACGAAGAGTACCAACGGTTCAAGTGTGACGAATGTCCGAAAGCTTTTACTTTCCGTTGCTATCTGGAGACGCACAAACGGGCCGAACACCTGCGCGAGCGGCTGATTTGTTCCCTCTGTGGCAAGCAGTTCAAGTATAGTCAGGACTTGAAGGTTCACACCAGGCAGCACGAGGATGACAAACCGTTCAAGTGCGATCAATGTCCGTCGGAGTTCCGATATCCGAGTGCCTTGCGCAGCCATAAGGCATGCCACGAGAAAACTGTGTTCTCCTGCGACATCTGCAACAAAGCCTTCAAGTACGCCAACAGTCTACGGGTGCACAAGCGTTTGCACAGTGGAATCAAGCGGTTCCGGTGCGAAATCTGCGAGCGCGAGTTCAATACCAAGGCACCGCTGGTGAGGCACTTGGCTACACATTCGGTCGAGCGGGAAATGAAGTGCGTAGTCTGTGATAAGATTTTCTACAAGAAAGTTGATCTCGTGATCCATCAGTCGAAGGAGCACCCGAACAATCCGGCCATTGGGAAGACGGTCAAGATCCACACATGTGACGTTTGCGGACAGGAATTTGCCAAGAAGAGCAATATGAAGGCCCATGCCTACATCCACGGGGACGTGTACAAGTACAAGTGTAGGCTGTGCAAGGATCAGCAGTTCAAGCAGCACGCTGGCCTGAGGCATCATTTGATACATTTCCACAAGATGAATCTTTCCCGGAGGAGTGCAAAATCGGTCTGTGAGAGAAAGGCCGGCGCGACGGTAACGAAGGATAGGGAGGAGATTTCGACGGTGGATGCTACCCTAACGCCGGCAGTTAGCGTCATTCACAACGGGATAGAGTTTCTGGTGCAGCAGGTCGATTGTGAGTAGGTGTGATGGGTTCGTTAGTAGATTGCATAATGATTGTATATAGGAAGTTTATTCTGGAAAAGCAACATAACGCGGAGAAATCATTGTCCGAAATTCCAAGCCTGGTAAAATTAATCATATCGTCGAGCAACGGTTTCAAGACTAGGACCGTATTTTGTCGAGGTTCGTATGAAAATCATAATTGAGACGTGCAATTTGCATAAGCCTAAAGGAATAGAATGGGATACGCTTATAGATGTACTTGGGACCAATAGGCCAGTCAAGTAGTGAGCCAATTTAAAATCGTTAGTTTCCACCGGTTGGTGTTATTTTTTTGCCTCGAAAAATCGATTTTTTTCATCCGATCTTTTTCTGTTCGATGTTTGACAGAATCGATTTTTTACTCATTTAATTTTTTTTATAAGACATTTAAAAAAACAAAACGCTTAAATTACCAAAGGAGAAAATAAAACTCTTTTTATGTTGTTGTTTATGTTTTATCAAATGTTATCATTGAATTCCTTCTAAATCATATTAAAAAATGATAAACAAAATGGTATTCCACTATCCCAAAAATATGTCCTTATTTAAACCTAAGCGATTTTAATTTCATCGTCCTCAAATTTTGCTAAACACCCTTTCAATCTTGGGCTTTATTCATTTGTTGTTTTTTATGTTATGTGTACTTTGGACCCATTCTTTCTAATTCATCCAGCTGATTTTGTTTGCAAAAAAGTAGAAGGGTCTGTGCCTAGGGGCACAAACGGAAGCTTGACGTAGGACCGCTAGTGGACGGAATAAATGTGAAGGGCTACAAAATGGTGAGTTGACAACCTGGAAGGAGCGGAATACCTAGCCCTGGTCCTCATAAGTTCCTACTTCACGCCTCCTCGAGTCATATGATAACAAAAGACTACCAGCTGAAACATGGACACAGTTGGTTGGCGTAGCCTGGGCAATGTTGCCAGTCCGGCAATAGCAAAGTGAAGAGGTGCGACGCGAACACTGGCGCGGTAACCATAGTACGGTGATAGAGGAAATGCTTCACCAAACCTGAGCGTCTGCTCACCATGGAGGTGCGGCTCCAAACGGCGTCTGTTCTCCATGTTAGGAGCGGCTGATCACCGTCCTAGTGCCAGCGAGGGACTCTAAACAGAGCTGTGCACGATGGTCCCCTGGCGAGACTGTGGGTTGGGGCAGGCCCAACAAGCCGCCCTGGAAAAAAAAACAAAGTTGCAAATACCGAAGAAAGAAATACGGATCGGAACAATCGGCACAGACCTACTTTTTGTCCCGTCCAGCAAAGTTCCTGCAGTGCTACGACTTCGAAGTTGCGTGGTTGAAGTTCGTCATAGATTAACCTATCGCAACCCGGGAAGCCGAGCGATTTACAGTTCCATGTTCCGAGTTTCCAATCGTAGTCCTACGATTGGAAACTCGGAACATGGAACTGCAAATCGCTCGGCTTCCCGGGTTGCGATAGGTTAATCTATGACGAACTTCAACCAACAATCAATACGAAACTAACGATTTTAAATTGGCTCACCACTTTAGTAGCCTATTGGTCCCAAGCAAACGATTAACGTACCCTATTCTAGTTGAAATTCTATTACTACACTATGTTTGTTTTGATTAGCTATGAAAGTTTGACAGATAACATCAGGGGTGTGTGGATTCATGCAGAACATGCAGGGGTGAGTGAAATAGCTTGGGACTGCTTGGGACCGTTGTTCTGGTACTGAGTGAGCCAAAAATAATAATGATTTTCTTCGGGACCCAGTGGTCTTAGAGTTACCTCTATGCTTCAACCACGCAACTTCGAAGTCGGAGCACTGCAGGAACTTTGCTGGACGGGACAAAAAGTATGGAAAAGCGGGCATCGAGCGGCTACTTTCTACCAGAGCTGTGGCACCACCAACGAGCTGGGAACCGGCTTTGTAGTGCTGGGTAAGATGCGCCAACGCGTGATTGGTTGGCAGCCGATCAACGCGAGGATGTGCAAGTTGAGGATTAAGGGCCGTTTCTTCAACTACAGCATCATCAACGTGCACTGCCCACACGAAGGGAGACCCGACGACGAGAAAGAAGCGTTCTATGCGCAGCTGGAGCAGGTGTACGACGGCTGTTCGCAACGGGACGTCAAAATCGTCATCGGCGACATGAATGCTCAGGTAGGACGGGAGGCAATGTATAGACCGGCAATCGGGCCAAACAGCCTGCATGCCGTATCGAACGACAACGGCCAACGATGCGTGAACTTTGCAGCCTCTCGGGGTATGGTAGTTCGAAGTACCTTTTCCCCCGCAAGGATATCCACAAAGTCACATGGAGATCACCTGACCAACACACAGAAAACCAAATCGATCACGTTCTAATCGACGAGAAATTCTTCTCCGACATTATCAACGTCCGCACGTACCGCAGTGCGAACCGGAGAGATTCGGACCACTACCTAGTTGCAGTATGCATGCGCTCAAAACTCTCGACGGTGCATAACACACGTCGAAGTCGAACGCCACGACCCAACATTGAGCAACTACGGGACACCGGAGTTGCCCAGGACTACGCGCAGCCGCTGGAAGTTGCACTACCTACGGAAGAGCAGCTTGGCGCAGCTTCTCTTGAAGATGGCTGGAGGGACATCCGTTCAGCCATAGGTAGTACTGCTGCAGCGGCACTAGGTACTGCAATCCCGGACCGAAGAAATGACTGGTTTGACGGCGAATGCAAACTGTTAGTAGAGGAGAAGAATGCAGCACGGGCGAGAATGCTGCAACACCGCACGAGATTGAATGTGGAGCGATACAGACAAGCGCGGAACAGACAAAACTCGGTTTTCCGAAGGAAGAAGCGTCAGCAGGAAGACCGAGATCGCGAGGCGATGGAAAATCTGTACCGCGTAAATGACACACGGAAGTTCTACGAGAAGCTAAATAGTTCGCGCAAAGGCTACGTGCCGCAAGCCGATATGTGCAAGGACTTGGACGGTAACCTTCTCACGAACGAGTATGAGGTGATTGAGAGGTGGAAGCAGTACTATCAACAATCAATACGAAACTAACGATTTTAAATTGGCTCACCACTTTAGTAGCCTATTGGTCCCAAGCAAACGATTAACGTACCCTATTCTAGTTGAAATTCTATTACTACACTATGTTTGTTTTGATTCGCTATGAAAGTTTGACAGATAACATCAGGGGTGTGTGGATTCATGCAGAACATGCAGGGGTGAGTGAAATAGCTTGGGACTGCTTGGGACCGTTGTTCTGGTACTGAGTGAGCCAAAAATAATAATGATTTTCTTCGGGACCCAGTGGTCTTAGAGTTACCTCTATGGTACTATGACGAGCACCTCAACGGTGAAACAGCAGAAAACGAAGGTGGCACGGCAACAGACCTTGGAGCACGCGCAGAAGACGACAGGCCACCGGCCCCTGATCTTCAAGAAGTTGAGGAGGAGATCGGTCGGCTGAAGAACAACAAAGCAACTGGTGTAGATCAACTACCAAGTGAGCTATTAAAATACGCTGGTGAAGCACTGGCCAGAGCGCTGCGCTGGGTAATTGCCAAGATTTGAGAGGAGAAGATTTTACCGGAGGAGTGGATGGAAGGTGTCGTATGCCCAATCTGCCCAATTTAAAAGGGCGACAAGTTGGATTGCTGCAACTACCGCGCGATCACACTGCTGAGCGCCGCCTACAAGGTACTCTCCCAAATGCTATGCCGCCGCCTGTCACCATTTGCAAGAGAGTTCGTGGGGCAATACCAGGCGGGATTCATGGGTGCCCGCGCTACCACGGACCAAATTTTCGCGATTCGGCAGGTTCTGCAGAAATGCCGCGAATACAACGTGCCCACACACCATTTGTTCATCGATTTCAAATCCGCATACGACACAATCGATCGAGATCAGCTATGGCAGATTATGCACGAGTACGGATTTCCGGATAAACTGACCCGATTGGTCAAGGCGACGATGGATCGAGTGATGTGCGTTGTTCGAGTATCGGGGACACTCTCGAGTCCCTTTGAATCTCGAAGGGGGTTACGGCAGGGTGATGGACTTTCGTGTCTGCTGTTCAACATCGCGTTAGAAGGTGTGATCAGAAGAGCTGGGATAGACACGAGTGGCACGATATTCAGGAAGTCCAGCCAGCTCCTTGGTTTCGCCGATGACATTGACATTATGGCACGGAACTTTGAGATGATGGCGGAAACGTACATCAGACTGAAGGCTGAAGCTAGACGGATTGGACTTGCCATCAACGCATCAAAGACAAAATACATGAAAGCAAGAGGTTCTAGGGAAGACAATGTTAGCCTCCCACCCCGAGTTCAGATTGACGGCGACGAAATCGAGGTGGTCGATGAGTTCGTGTATTTGGGCTCACTGGTGACCGCCGAAAATGATACCAGCAGAGAAATTCAAAGACGCATTATGGCAGGGAATCGTGCCTACTTTGGACTCCAGAGGACGCTCCGGTCGAATAAAATTCGCCGTCGCACGAAGTTGACTATCTAAAAGACGCTGATTAGACCGGTGGTCTTCTACGGCCACGAGACCTGGACTATGCTCGTGAAGTTGTTTTCGAACGGAAGGCAACAGCGTACCATCTACGGTGCAGTGCAGATGGATGACGGAACGTGGAGGAGGCGAATGAACCACGAACTGCACCAGCTGCTGGGAGAACCATCCATCGTCCACATTGCAAAAATTGGGCGACTACGGTGGGCTGGGCACGTCGTAAGAATGCCGCACGACGACCCAGTGAAAATGGTTCTAGAAAGCGACCCAACAGGAACAAGAAGAAGAGGCGCGCAGCGGGCAAGGTGGATCGACCAAGTAGAAGGTGACCTGCGGACCCTTCGCAGACTACGAGGCTGGCGAACTGTGGCCATGGATCGAGTAGAGTGGAGACGACTTCTTCGGACAGTAGAGGACAACAAGGCCTTAGCCTGATTGGTAAGGTGAGGTAAGCATTTAGTTCTTTTAATTGATCAATTATCTAATATCTCAACACTTTCCGTTTTTGAATTTTAAGCGTACCAAATTTGTAGTAATTTTTTTCAAAGAGAAAGTTGATTAAGAGAATCAATCAAAATCACTTGCACCCCTGCTTCCAAGTTTGGTTACAAGATTACAACTCTGGAGAGCATTTTGTGTGGTCGTTGGGGGCTTGTGATTCTGAATATGGACAAACAAGCACAGTTAAATCATAGAGGTAACTCTAAGACC